CGCAGGCACATTAATTACAAAAAGGAAATAATGAAGGTTCGATTGGCTACGCAAGTGTTCAGCAATAGTGTTGCTGATGCTCTGTTATATTGTAAGTTGAAAAAAATTGCTAATTTTGAAAAATGTGAATCTATAATAACATTTTGTAAAAATATAAATGATATATTCGATTTTTTAAACACCCGAAATTTTTTGAGCAAACTTCAACATAAGAAACCTCTTTATTTAGAACATCACAAAGATATAAAACAATTTATTAGTTCATCTATAGTTTATTTAAATGCAATAAAGGATAGAAATCATTCATCTATACTAACATCTCCACGGAAAACTGGATTTAATGGGCTAATTGTGTGTCTTAGAAGTATAGGCAGGTCGTTTGACAATGTAGTTGAGACCGGACAGTTAAGTTTTATCCTTTCTTATAAAATATCTCAAGATCATATAGAGATGCTATTTTCGGCTATTAGGTCAAAAGGAGGCTTTAATAACAACCCGATAGCTTCACAGTTTGAAGCTGCCTATAAGAGATTGTTGGTACGCAGTGAACTATCTGTCTCCGAAAATGCAAACTGTTCAGTCCTAGATAATACTAATATTCTTCATGTATCAAGTAGTAAAAAGAAAAAAGTAGAAAACTTTCATGATATACTTTGTGTTGAAGAGGAAGATAATATTAATGATGAAGATGATCAACACAATGAAATAGAAGATATAAATGTTTATAAAGAAGATATCATTGAACATATATCAGGATTTGTTATAAAACAATTAAAACGAACAATTAATTGTCAAATATGTAGTAATGCGCTTGAAGATAAGACTAAACACCATACACTGATCGACATCAAAAATCGAGGAGGCCTCATAAAACCAGCAATTGATGTAATTACAATTTGTAAATTAACTGAAAAAACATTTGTATCTAGAATTCACGAAGTGCCAAAACATTTAGAAGATCCAATCAATTTTTTATTAGTTAAAACAATGGCTAATATTAATATAAAAAATGTGTTTAATTGTTTAAATGAACATATTTTATCTCAGTCTCCAATTAACAACCATGTTCTACAAATTATAAGACTTATTATAAAAAAATATATTGTCATTAGACTACACCACCACAACAAAGAGCTAAGCCAACCGAAATATAGAATTAGATCACACCTGACTAAAGTCATATTATTTAAACACCAATAATATTTTATTCAACAGTTATCTTATTGTATTATATTTATTATATTAAAATATGTATTATTTATATTTTATATATTACTATATTATTATAATATGTATTAAAATCTATATTATATTTCATTATATATTACCTAGGTAAGTATATTATTATTGATATTAGGTAGGTATAAGTATTATATTTATAATATGTTTTAATTAAAAAAGTGGTCTTCATTATATTATAAGCTTGAATTAATAAAGTTGATTATGATGTAATATAAATACTCACCAGTCACCAATGATTTTTACTTTTAGTAGCTGTAACACAAAAACTAGACCTGATGGAATCAGAATATGACTTTCAGACTTTATAATGAGAGTGCAGCTCTATCCTCAATGGTAGCTTCTAACTTATTACAATATTCTGTTTACCATTCACCAGTGTAAGTAAGTATTATGATAATTATGTATTGTAATTTATAATATATTATTATAAAAACTAAAAATGTAAAATATTATATAATATTTTATTACATTACCAGCTAATACATTATTAGTGTTTATTATTATAATATAATTATCATAAAACAATGATAATACGCTAATACGCATGGCTGAAAAAACTTAATGCCAATTGTCCTCCATGATATGCCCAAACCCATAGTTCTTTCTCTCTCACTCTATCTCGTCCCCATGAAATGTAGGCAGGGTGGTGTGGTAAGCGCTGTCCATTAGTTAATAGGTCTATGTACGCAGCACGGCTATTATAATTTATAACACCGAACGGCGAATACTCAATAATTCTCAAACCTCGTGTGCGGCGTTTCTGCGTTAGCGTTTATTAGTATTTGGCTTTTTAAAATTTGAATTGTGAACAATTGACAACTATTACCTACTGTAAACTGAACAGTTAAATGTACCTACCGTTGTAAACCGTAAAGTGTAAATTAAGTAATATTGTTAACAGTTAAATAAAACTAAACCTTACAGTGGCTACATCGATTTTTAGCTACCTATACGTAATTAATATTACATTTTATAATCAAAATTCAATTCAGTATAAGGTACGTATATTGGGTATTATTATTTATTATAGTAAAATTATTATTATTAATTTAAGGTAATTTAATCTAATCTAGATATTACTTTAAACTTCATTATTTTCTTTATTTTATTTATTTTGCAAACCAGTTTTATTTTTCAATAATTTTACAGTATGATTAAAATAGTATGTAGTAATAGTATAAAGCTATGTGATATTACAGTACTTCAGGTACCTACCCAAAAGCAACAATTTTGATTATTGCATTTTATTTCAGATAAAAATACTCAACTAGGTATATTAATTATTAAAAATGAAAAAAACTTCGTATAGTTCCCGTACTAAAAGACAACGAATGAAAGAAGAATTCGATTTTTTTTCTGATTCTAATAATTTTGGAAACAAAATACTTGTTAATAATGATCAAATCCCAGATAAAATTATTTGTTTTGACTTGAATAATATTTGTCAGGAGGTATCACAATGTCCACAAACTGTAATAAGTTCACCGCATGTAGATGTTGACCATTTAGATTATGAATGCATCAATTCAAATAATACAAATGATTATGTATCATTACAAAATGAGTCAGATAGTAGTACATCAGAGTCAGATAATTATAGCAATGTGTTTAGTTCTATTAATTCTGAAATATCTCAATGGGCATTAATGCACAAAATTCCACATAATTCTATTAATGATCTTTTATGTATGTTAAAAAAGCATAAATGTTTTTCCATGTTGCCTAAAGATGCAAGAACATTATTAGGTACTAAACCAGTAACAATACAAAATATGCATGAAGTTAAACCTGGTAAATATTATCACTTTGGTCTGGAAAATGGTATTATTTGTCACTTTTTACCTAATAATTTAATACAACGAGAGATCAAGCTCGTTATTGGTATAGATGGACTCCCTATTTCTAAGAGCACTTCTACCCAATTTTGGCCCATTCTGGCATATATAAGACCAAATTCAAACCTTGTGTTTCCTGTAGGATTGTATTGTGGTACAAATAAACCCTGTGATAGTAATGAATATTTAAAATACTTTGTAAATGAAGCTCAACATTTAATCATAAATGGTGTTCGCATTCAGAATAAATTATATAGTATCACAATTTATGTATTTTGCTGTGATGCACCAGCAAAATCATTTGTCTTAAAAATTAAGGGACACAGTGGTTCTTTTTCTTGTTCAAGGTGTGAGATTGAAGGCGAGTACAAAGAAAATAGAATGTGTTTTCCTTACAGTGAACCAAATGAAAGATCTAAAACTAGAACTCATAGTGATTATATAAATAGAACTCAAATCAGTCATCATATTATATCATCTATTAATTCTTGCATTAGTGAAATTCCAAAACTTGATATTGTTTATAATTTTTCACTAGATTATATGCATTTGATATGCCTTGGTGTAACAAAAAAACTAATTTTATTATGGATGAAAGGGCCGTTGAGGGTTCGCTTGCCTTCTATTAAAATTATTCAGCTTTCTAAATTACTTGTAAACTTGCGATTACATTTTTGTTGTGAATTTTCTAGAAAACCACGAAAGTTAGAAGAAGTTTGTCGATGGAAGGCGACCGAATTTCGCTCATTTTTGTTGTATTTAGGTCCTATTGTTTTAAATGGTATAGTGAATGATTCTTGTTTTAAAAATTTTATGGCCCTTAACATAGCTATGATAATACTTTTAAGTCCTCATCACAGTTCATTTGTAGATTATGCACGTGAAATGTTAAATTATTTTGTAAAAACATTTGAACAGATTTATGGTCAACATTTAATGTCACACAATGTACATGGTGTGCTCCATTTAATTGAAGATTATAACAATTATGGATCATTGGATAACTGTAGCACATTCCCTTTTGAGAATTATATGCAGACACTTAAGAGTATGCTCAGAAAGCCACACAAACCTTTAGAGCAGGTTATAATGAGGTACAATGAAGGGGCTAATTTAAATTCTACCAGGACTAGTGAAAAAGAACCACATGGCTTATTATTAGGACCACATAATAAGGGACCTTTATTAAATGGTATAAGTACTAATCCCCAGTATAGCAGTTTTATAATGGGTAATTGTAAAATTAAAAGCAAAATTGATGCTGATTCTTATTTCTGTACTAAAAAACATGAAATTGTTAAATTAGTAAATATAACCTATTCAAAAATTTCTGGAAATGTAATTTTTATTGGACGACAGTTTAAGGAAAAAGAAAACTTCTATTTACAACCAATAAATTCATCATTATTTGAAATATATAGGGTGAAAAATTTATCTAATAATTTGAAGCACTGGGATATAAGTGAGGCTAAAACAAAAATGATGATGATGCCTTGTAATGATGAACTTGTTGCAGTTCCATTACTACACTCGATTTAGTTTTATAAATAATACAGATTTAAGCTAGGTATAATTTAAGTATAATTAAATGTATTTATTTACTAGGTTTAAAAAAATATTTTTAAACAGGAAAACATTTTTTGGTATTACCTACATTGTTTTGCTATAAAAAAAGTACTTTATATTTTTTAATAGTTATATATTTAGAATTTAATTTATGTAATATTTTCCCTTCTGACGATATTATTCAAGTATAATTTTTTAATTTTCAATAATAATATAATACTCTTAAAGCTGTATTTTGATACGATATTTATAAACAATGTGGTGAGTCAATAGTAACAAATTAAAATGTTTAACTGACCTACCTACCTATGTAATTTTAATTTAGCATATTTAATTTGTGAACTATAGATATTTAATATGTGGTCTATTGTTGAATTTATGGATGAACATACAATTGAAGTTGTGCCAGCGCATTGGGTAAAGAACAACAAGTGCGCTTGGCCGAAAAAAAATGTAAAATCCAATATTGAAAGAAGAACGATTCCAAATACTTTTGATTTTAAATATTATTCCTCTAGAGTAATTAAAAAAAGCATTGGTACATTTTTTTTATTTTTAAATAGTCATCTTTTAGAAATTAATTATTATTTAAATTAAATGAAAAATATTAAACTATTAATATTTTTTCTTAAGCTTTTAGTGTCTCTATATTTATTTTAATATGTTTAGAAACTTTACAAGTGGCTAGGGCTAAATTGAAGACTGCTGAATATACTTCAGACTTATCAACAACTGAAGAAGTTTGTTATAGAAGGAAGACCAAAAAAACAACAATTCCTGACCCTCCATTATACTCATCACATATGGAGCCTTCTAATGTTCAAAAAGGTAAACAAGTATTTAAGATTTTAATGTGGACTATATTTGAGATACCAATACATTTATTATTTCAGATAATGTTAATAATACATTTGAGACTCCAAGTTTGACAAGTGTACCATTAGCAAAAACATGTAAAAGAAAGCTTTTTGACTCCAATTATATTTTTGAAGGTAGTAATTATATTATACTATTAGACTTATTCATTTTAAAAATTTATGAATAATTTGTATGCAATTTTTATATTTAGTATTAAGAATGAAAAATAATTCTTTAAGCTTTAGATATTTAAGTATTCACTATTAAGTATTTTAATGTTGGATTTGTGTATGTTTTAGATGACTCAGATGATTTCATCCCAAGTCGTTCACTCAATTTAAAACGTCATACCAATGAAATTGATAGAAATTCAAATGGTTCAAATTCACCGGGTGAAACATGTATATCTACTAATTATTATCAATCTAAGAATTCTACACACCAAGGTATCTGAATACTTATTTATGTTTTAAGATTAATTTTATACTGTAATACTTCATATGTATATGTTATTAAAATCATTATATTTATATTATTCATTTTTTTATTAATTTAGTGCTTTCACTGAAAACTCCTCAGATGTCTAATATAGTAAATAAACCATATGCTAATTATTCTGCTCAACCGGATTTTACAGTTACTGGTATTTCCCTGGGTAATTATTAATTTAGATTTTAGACAAAAATAGTGTATATAATATTTAACAGTTAATATTATTTTTTTTAGCTTCAAATGTCAAACATTCTATTGTTCATACTTCTTCGTCCCCATTTAAAGTAACTTCGGAAATTAATGATGACTATCCATCAAACAATATGATGAATGAACCGCAAAAATCAAACATACATAATTCTGGTATGATATAAAAATTACACAATTACTAATAAGTGATCAAATCAGTATAAGTATATGTACTATAAAATGTAAAAATGTGTGCTCCAGTTCTTAATGCATTTAAAATTGTTGATAGTTCAAAAAGATATAGTTTAATGTTGTTGGTAAGTTATGAGAGTTTTAGAAGTAAGCATTAATTTCAAAGAAACCATGTAGTCGTGTAGATAATTTTCATAAATGAACACACAATAAGGTTGAGATATATAAATATATATATATATATGATCTTATAAAATATTAATTAGGTATTTTTGCATCTCAAATACTTAAAGTATAAAGCCAAGCTAAGTAAAAGTATGTATATATCAGCTTATTATTTTAGGCTCAAGTGGTATAAATAGAAGATACACAGAGAAGCATATGTATAAAGAAGGGTCTACTGGGAGGTCTACACCTTTACTACAAGATAACATTGAAATAGTGGCACCATCTGCAGTACTTCCTTCAACTTTGCAAAGCTCTGATACTGGTTAGTATAAATTATAGAAGTGTCCTTCTATTTATTGGTTTATTATAAATTGGTTCTTATTATTGTTAAATATCTTTTTTTCTTTATTACAGAAATTGTTAAACGTATATTACAAGTAGTTTTAAAAATAAGGTATGATGTTGAAAGCTTGGGTCAAAAACTGCAACAAATTGATAAACAAATAGAAGAAAATAGTTTAATTAAATCAGCTGTAAATGAATCAACTTATATTGAAACAATAAATCAAGAAAACGATTTTGAATCTCTACTTCCTTTAATTAATGAAGATGATCTTAATATGTTTGAAAACAAGCTCTCTGATAGAAGTTTCAGATTGAATGTGGTAAGTTTAAATAATGTATTATCTGTATGTTTTTGAGTATACAAATTCAAATTTAATGTTTTTCAGGTAAATGGCCTGAAGCGTTTAGTTAGAAAAACTTTAGCTTCATCAATACGCCAAGTAATGCGTAAACTATTTTCTTATGAATTATTAAAATACTATAGTTACATTGGTCAAAAAAAAAAGAAAATATTCTCGACATTGTTATCTTGTACAATTATATTTGGTAAGATTGTTATAGTTATACACTTATAGTGACCATATTTTTCCATATAGGTACATACTAAAAAAAAAAAACTGTTTTAGCAGACTATGTTTTTGTAATAATACATACTTATTAATACTAATGTAACACACTCTTAACTTAAATAATAATAATAATAATCCCATAGGCACAAATAATGGTTGTGGTTAGGGGGGGGGGGCAAAGCCCTAGCTACTTAATGAGGCATTTTCGGAAGTTATAAACACATTATTAATAACAATTTGTTAAAATATTTATAACAAAACATTGTAATTTTATGGTGCATTTTTATATTGCAAATAATTCTTATAGTGCAATTTTCCGTTATTTTTAATGCAATACTGCAATCAATTTTACTAGTTTTTTACTATTACAACGTCCGTGCTCATATCAAATTGTAAAAGTTAACTTATAATATGCTAAATATTGAATATCAAAAAAATATATTGCAGTACCTTTTCAGATACTAAAATAATATTAAACACACTTTTAAGTTGAAACCTTGATGTTAAATTTATCCTTTATACAAACACAAAATAGTTTTAAAAAAAGCATTTTTATAATATGAAATTTACAATTTATAAGTTTTCACATAACAACATACCTTCTTATCAATTGGAATGAAGACTATTGAAGGTTCAATTTAAATAATTGTATCAATTGCTGTTAAATTTGTAAGCTCTATTCTGAAAATCACTAATCAGGTACTCAAATACTAACTAAAATTGGATAGTAAAAAAAAACTGAAATGAAGAAACATTAGGAGGGGGCTATGCAATTTTTGGGAGGCTTAGCCTCTAAAGCCTACCATCCTTATTATTAACAGTTTAAACTGTAAGTGAGTCATACAGTTTAAATTTTCATAGATTAAATAATAGCAGTAATAATTGAATAAATTAATATTTTGTAAAAATGTATAAAATTTAACAGTTATCTTTAATAATTGAAGTTATCACCTATTATTTTTCAGAAACCATAAGAAAATGTAAAGATTTTCAAAATGCTTTAAATACTGAAATAGAAGGTCCTATTAAAATATACATCGCTGGAGCAGCATTTAGAAAAAAAAATAACCTTATTTAATTAATTTGTTGTTAATTTCTTTATTATTATAAATAAAAGTTATGTTTATAATACAAATAAAAATGTATGTAAATAATATATCTTGTCGTATATCTTATATCTTATCTATGTATCTAGCTTGTACCTGTTATTTGGGTGTTGAGCAAAATATTGGAGGAACAATAAATACCCAAAACTATATATAATATGCTTTGTACCTATATAGATAAGGTTTTTTTTACTGTATTAAAAAATTGAATAAAGAATAATATCTATACAAATGTAAATGTTCTTTTACTTTATAGTGGTATAATTGTAATATCATAATAATATATACCTACTTAAAAAACTGCTTTGTTTTAAAGCATACAATATATGATACATAACTGTAATTAGGAACTTACAAGGTTTGATTTCAGTCCTTTAAAAAATATTAATGTAATCACTTTATTTGTCCTATTCTCCCATATTTGGACCAGAGTTTAGATTTCAGCTAATTTTAACTATTGCTCTGACTGTCTAAATAGATTTAAGGGATTCCCATTCTAACCCTAGCAAAATAGTTTAAAAAGTATGACAAAAAAATATTTTAATTAAATACTTTTTATATTATATTAACATTTAAAAAATAATAATATAATATTTATTTGAAAATAATATTTAATATTTTTTTTTTAATATTATAATAATAATACAAGTATAATAATATAGTAATAATGCACACCTGGCAGAATAATAATACTAAAATATTACAAAAACATTTTTATTTTGTATTTATACTGAAATAAAAATGATCAAATAATATTATTCATTATATTTGTAATTTTATAAAAACATTATTATAATATGTTTTTGCTATCTGGGTTGTTGTTATTTTTATTTATTTATTTGTACTAAATTATATTTTTGTTTCTATAACATTTGATGTATAAAATGTCAAAAGATCGGTCTACTTTCGATAATCGCTCATCACAAATACTATTTAATGAATTAATTTTGGTGAAATATTGTAAAAAATATTGTGTGTCAGATGAATAGACATTTGTGCTACTCGTGAGTTGTGATTTCATCACTGTAACGCAAATTGCCATGACCACACTACCCAACCCCGCCGACCACATATGCTCCGTCTACTAGTATAAGGTCTATGGTTACAATAAAATAGTATAACATTTTTGTATAACATCAGATCTGTTTTCTGTCTTCCTCTATGGTTGCTCTTCAGGCGCTCAATGGATGATGGCATTTTTCCATCAATGCTTAAAATCAGTTCAGTCACCCCTGTGTTAAAATCTGGTGAAAAGTCCAACGTCACGAATTATCGACCCATCTCGATTCTAAGTCATATTGCCAAGCTTTTCGAACACTTGGTACTGCAATCCATTCAGGCATCGGTTGACTCTGTACTGGTCGAGGAACAATATGGTTTCCGATCTTCCGTTTCGAAAATAATTTTGTCCTCGAGTCATTTGAAAACTGCTCCCAGGTAGACGTGGATTTCACTGATTTTGTGAAAGCATTTGACCGTGTCGACCACGCTATCCTAATTGACATCCTCTATAAGTCCGGTTTTGGCGAAGATATTTTGTCCTGGTTTAAATCATACCTGTCTAATCGTGTGCAGTGGGTTAAAGTACTTGGATCAAAATCTGCTGTCGTCCCTGTTCCATCTGGTGTTCCCCAAGGTGGTCACTTGTCTCCCCTGCTTTTTTCGCTATTTATAAATGGAATTAAGAAGGCTGTTCCTAAATGTAAATTATTATGTTTGTTGACGACCTGAAACTTTTAAGAAAAGTCGAATCTGAAGCTGACTGTCTCGCCCTTCAGAATCAGAATGAGTGAGTTAGATTCCATTAGCCTATGGTTTAGCACTCTTGGCCTCCAGTTTAATACTAAAAAATGCAAAGTTATGTCCTTCACCAGGCGCCGGTTAGCAATCGATTATTCTTACACTATCAATGGTTCAGTGATTGATAGAGTTACAAGCAATAGCGACTTGGGCGTTCTTCTCACTGCCGATCTTAACTTCCGCCCTCACATTGACTCCATCTGCTGCCGAGCCCTCAAATCGCTTGGCTTCGTAATGCGCACCATGAATGAGTTCAAACCCTCTGAATCTCTCAAGACTGTCTACTGTTCTTTAGTCCGAAGCTTGCTAGAGTATGCGTCTATGCTCTGGGACCCATTTGTGGTAATTGATTCTTGCCACTTAGAGCGAGTTCAAAGGCGCTTTTTGTCGTCTGCAGCTTACATGCTAAAAATTATCCATCCTCCTCATGACTATACTCCAGTATTGCACGCACTTAACCTTACTTCTTTAGCAAATAAACGCGTTAAAGATAATCTGGGCTTTTTGCAAAAGTTAATCGATGGTTCCATAAATGCCCCTTCACTGCTTGACCAAGTAAACTTTAAAGTTTCACATCGGGTCACAAGGTCTCGAGTTCCTTTTACTGTATCTCTCCACTGCACCAATTACGGTAAAAACAAACCAATTGATCGCATGATGCGGTTGGCTAACGCTTTCTCAGTTTACCTTAATATTGTGTTATTATTTTGACATTTCTTGTATGTAATTTTACTTGTGTCCTAATTATTTTAATTTATATTTATTGTACCTGTAATTCTGCTGTATTTTTAGGCCATCGCCCCTTGTATATGTTAATTATCTTATATTACTGAATTATTGTTGTGTGCTGTACTAAATAAGGAATTTTTATTCCGCAAATTAATTAATAAATGAATAATAAACAAAATAACTTCGACGAAATAAAATCTCATAGTTCGTTATTAAATTTGAAATACATTCATTTCTGCCTTCGGGTTAAGCCCGTAAATCATTGTGAAAGATAATACACACCAAAATATAATGTACATACCACAGATATATAATAACACTAGATAGCCGACTTCCTATAGCAGCAATATCAAATATTGAAGTTGGGAAAATGGCCGACTTTTCTTATCAAAGGGCCCATTGTTTACATAGTTCTTGTTGATAAAATTGTAATAACGTATTAAGATTAACGCATTACTGTAAATTGTAAATTGTAATATTACAATTCATTTTCTTTTAATTAATTTCTTTATTAAGATTAATTTAAGATGGTGCACAGATGTTTTGTTGGAAACTGTCCCAATAAAAAAGTAACTGGAAGTGGTATTCATTTCTTTTCGTAAGTAATTATTTAAAATCACAAGGTTAAAATTACCTATAAATTATGTTTCATATAATTTATTTAATGTTTTGTTTTAAATAGATTTCCAAAAGACGATGATCTAAAAAAATTATGGTTAAAATCTATAAAATTTAAGTATGGTGTACAAACACAACATAGTCGTGTCTGTAGTTACCATTTCACTAAAAATGATTTCAAAACTATTGTGGGAGGTCGAAATCACATTTTATTAAAAAACGACGCTGTTCCTACAATTTTTATTGCTAAAAGAACAACAGAAAAAATTAATGATGGCATAAGAATTGCATCAAATGAAAACCCTACGTCCTCACATGCTATAGATACTAATATACAACTAGTTGATTCAGCAATGTTATTGGAAGAAAATTCTATAGATGTGCAGCATGAAGACGCCCATATAGTGGAAAAGTCTGAAGTCGCAACCTGTAAGCGACCGAAAAGAAAACTTACTTATGGCTTAGTTGAAACTGAAAATAATATTAGCCCTTCTCGGTCATCTTACACGCTGCCAAAAAGAGGAAGACCTACAAACAAAAGTCCAGCTACACCTCGTAAAACATTAATTAAGAGCAAAGTTAAAATCCTGCAACAAAAAGTAAGAAGACTAAAAACTAAAATAAAAACTCTTAACGATGTATTGGAAGAATTAAAAAAAAAAGGGTTGATCGAAAATGATCCATGTGATCTTATAGAAAATGAATTTGAAGGCATTCAATTCGAAATTTTGAAAAATGAATTGACTAATAAGAAAAGAAAGCCTACCGGATGTAGATATAGCGATGAAATAAAAAAATTTGCTCTTACACTTCATTACTATTCGCCTAAGGCATATAAATTTTGTCGGTTAGTACCTACTAATATCTAAGTAAGAAACAGTCTTGGGTAAAATACTTTTTAAAAGTATTTGGAATAAATACTCGAATATTCATGAAAAATAGTATTCCGAATATGTATTCGAATACATAATAAAAATAGTATTCTGAATGAAGTATTAGAATACTATAAAACTATTCCAATACTTTAAAAATATTTTTTTGTTTTAGATATATTTTAGTTTCTCTCAAGATCATATTATAGAAATACTTTTTGGTCGTTTTCGTCAACGATTCGGAGCAAATAACAATCCAAATGTAATGCAATTTAAGACAGCAATGAAGCAGATATTATNTATTCGAATACATAATAAAAATAGTATTCTGAATGAAGTATTAGAATACTATAAAACTATTCCAATACTTTAAAAATATTTTTTTGTTTTAGATATTAATAGAATAATAATTGCTTTTGTGAAATTATAGCCAATGTTTAAATATATTGTTTGTAAATTAAAATAATAATATACTTAACTATGACAATTTATGATTTACAATATACAATAATAATTATCTGCTATTTATATTTTATGAATAAAATTATTTATATTATCAAAACATGTTGGTAATTACAAATTTCCAACACCAATTATACGTTTTCTATTGATTATTTTTAATTTTTATAATTATTTTTTAACTATTATTGTGTAATACATTATAGATCAATATTCAAACTCCCTAATGAGACTGCTTTAAGAACTTGGACATCAACAGTTAATGGGGAGCCCGGATTTTTCATTGAAGTTTTTGAAGCTTTGAAAACCTTAAAACTTGAAAACAGAGATTGCAATTTAGTTTTGGATGCAATGTCCATAAAAAAACAAGTAATCTGGGACAAAAAAGCACATCAGTTTATAGGTTATTGTGATTTTGGGGGACAGCTTAATATTGAAGGGTCAGAAACCGCTGCTACTGAAGCATTAGTGTTTATGCTTGTCGGTCTAACAGGAAAATGGAAAATACCGGTGGGTTATGTTTTCCAGAATAAACTCAATGCTATGTGTCAAGCTCAGTTAGTCAAAGCTGTACTGACTTTAGCTCATAACTCTGGTTTGCGCGTATGGGGGGTAACATTTGATGGAGCAGTTACCAATTTCTCAACATTTAAAATATTAGGTTGCGAATTGGGTAACAACATTGAGAATTGTAAGCCATGGATTAAGCACCCTGTAGATAACTCACAAATTTTCATTATACCTGACGCTTGTCACATGCTAAAATTAGCTCGGAACACATTAGGGAACACATTGGTACTTGAGTCACCTAGTGGTTTAATTAAGTTTAATTATTTTGAAATCTTGCATCGATTGCAAACCGAGTTGGGTTTAAAGTTTGCAAACAAGTTAACTGGTGTACACATTGGATGGAAAAAAAATAAAATGAAGGTTAAAATTGCTGCTCAATTATTAAGTTCATCGACAGCCAATGCTCTACAGTTTTTATTAGATAACAACTTTGAACAATTTAAAAACAGCGAAGCTACAATTAAGTACTGTAGAGTAATAGACCAAATATTTGACTTTTTAAATTCAAGAAGTCCCTTTTCCAAAGGTTACAAAACGCCTATTTTTAGATCAAATTTAGGCATTTTACAAGACAAAATCATCCCACTAATAAATTATTTATCAACTTTAAAATATAAAAATCAATTGCTCTACATGACAAACAAAAAAACATTTATTATAGGATTTACAGCAGCAGTGAAATCAATGTTTGAAGTATCAAAAATTATATTTACAGAAAACCTAAATTTTAAATATATTCTTACATACAGTTTCTCTCAAGATCATATAGAAATACTTTTTGGTCGTTTTCGTCAACGATTCGGAGCAAATAACAATCCAAATGTAATGCAATTTAAGACAGCAATGAAGCAGATATTATTGAAAAATTCTATTAAATGCTCCAATAATAGCAACTGTAATACATTTGATGAAGACATTACTCTGTCATTATTTTCATTTACATGGCCTTCCAAAAAAAAATATACTTTAACCGATTGTTATGATCCCAGTTATGATAATTAAAACATAAATAAAGACATTATAAATCGATCAAAATTACTGAATAACACTAATTCTAACTATAAAGATTGCAAAGAAAATATCTTGTACTACATTTGTGGATATGCAGTGAAAAAAATTGCAAAATTGTTAGAATGTACTTCATGCATTGAATCGCTTATTGAACCATTTGTTGAACATAACTACAGCTGTACAGAAAAATATAAACATTTTACTAATTTAAGAAATAATGGAGGTCTTATATTTGCTTCTAAATGTGCATTTAAAATTATAAATGAAGCAGAAATGTATTTTTTAATTTTAACTGAAAATTTGAAACACTTAAATATTCAAAATTTAGACCTTAAGGTAATCTATTATTGTAACAAAAAGTTTTGTTTAGATAAGAATATTTTTGCAAATTTATCATGCAATGGGTCATTGCTTGATAGACCCCACAAAATTATATTAATTTCATTTTTAGTCAAGCAATATTTAAGTATAAGGCTCCTTTCATTTGGAAAAATGTTTTCCACTGAAATTTTGAATGAAGTTAGTGACAGACAAAAATTGACCAAACAGATACTTTTTATGAACCAATAAAATGGTTCTTTTATTTTGTTACAACAATCTTTAAGTTTTAAAATGTTTAAATTTATATTATTACTATGTTATTTAATAACGAGTTTTCATTAGTATGTTGTTTCAGTTTGTATAAATAATTTTATACTTACTTATATATAATTATGTAAAATGTCCATGTACTAAGTTTCTATTTTAATATTAGTAGTTTTAATTTGTTATACTTATATTTAATAATTTGTAATGTTCCTATGTTTTAATTATCTACCAAAGTTTTATTTTTTATGTTACCTAACTAGTTGTTTCAAATTTTATTAGGTATTAAATATTAATTGTAAAAATAAATAAAAGGTTTTTCATTGGAATTAATATATTCTAAACTTTTTCTATTATTTTAATTTTCATATGAATATTTAACATAAATAACGACAAATTAAAATGGTAAAATACTACTTTGTCATGGCAAAAGTACAAGTACATAACATTATAATTTATAACAATAATCATTGATTCTTTATTATCAAAAATCATAATGTAAACAAGGGGCTCTTTGATAAGAAAAGTCGGCCATTTACTGGACTTCAATATTAGTTTGTAGTCGGCTATCTAGTTGTATTATATATCTGTGGTACATACCAAACAACGCTGCTGACAATCGTTGTGGCTTATCTGTAAAAATTCAACATTGTGGTGACTCTCAATTGTGTTTGTATATCTACATTCTGCCTTCAAATAGGTCTGTAACACTTTGCGCCGCGGAAGCAATGCGAAAGCAGATCTCACGGCGTCGTCGGTTATAACGAAAAAAAAGGCCTGTAACACTTTATGAACATTCTATTGGTTCTACAAATGTTTTAATTGAATATCCAATTTTATTCGTAACTTCCATATAACTAACTCGCTTAGTATAAATAAGTACAAATACAATTTGTATTTAAATAAAAATAGTTTAAATGATCCTACACGGTGATGTCCCTGACAAATTTTAAGTCCAAAGATTTACTATTTTCAAAGTTTAATTTTAAATATTTATAGTACGTTTTGCATTCACCAATTGCAACCCAATACAATCTAAAAGTATTTGATTCCGTGGTGACTCATTAAAATTCAAAATTTCAAACTATGTCTTCAAAGCAAGCATAGTTGCTTAAAATTTATCTTTGTACATTATTTGATAACAATTAACAACGAATGCTGGGGGCTTGGCTGTGGATCGCTTTTATACACACAAACATTGCCGCTTTTTTAAGTATATTTATTGGTATAATTTTACTGAAATGTTTTGTACGTTGATTGATTCTGATCATAGACGGTATAACTGGTAATTCCAGTTAAATTCCTAGAAATAAGTTGATTGGGATCGAAGACCTCCATTCATACATTTCCATTAATGATTTTCACAATAGAGAACTTTGTAAGAATAAACACCATTATAAAACTTATCTTATATATCTTATACCTAGGTAATCAGGAAAAACATAAACAATGTCTTTTCAAATTTTAAGAAAAATGTATTGATACTTTTTTTACATGCCAATTTATTACTTGAGCTGGAAAAACTATTTTTTAATTTTTTTTGTAATTTCACACAACGCATTGTTTTCATATAATTAACCCACTGTGCCTGAATTAAAACTACAGCTTATCGCAGCACATCATTTTCTGGATCTCTGATTTAATCTGTCGATACCTTAATACTAGGCTATCTAAAATTACCAAATTATTTTCTTGTATTTAATTATCAAGTTTTCTAAATAAACATCAAATATTCTACATCTTAACACCATATTTTTGTTTTAAGTATGTCCATCCTCTGTATGTTATTGAATATAATTTAATATATACACTACAATACTACATATTTATCATTGAAGTAGGTACTTAATCCTTATAATCAATTTTATTTTTAATACATACTAATTAGTAATTATTCTTACTTTTATGATTATATATATTGAATACAAATTCGAATTCTGTAAAAATAAACTAAATTGATGACAATGTCAGACTTTTTTTTTAGGTATAGGTTTATGCATTGTACAACATTAAAATATAGGACACATCGAAGTTTAAATATTCTATAGATTGGCATGTCTTAGGTAGTAGGTCACTGTATTACTTGGTTAGTAATCATGTACATAGAACATCGTTTATAATTTTTAAAAAAAGGTGTGGATGATTCTGTAAGTTCAAATTCTTACAACATCGGGTATTCATTGATTTCTCATTTATTGATTTTCTTATTTGATTGTGATTCACAAACAAATAACCGTAGATACTTTAGATTTCTGTTATAAATGTATTGTATGATTGTCTATACTTGATAAAATATTTAAATGATTTTGGTATCTTATGAGCTTTTCATGGACATTTTCAATTTTCATTTTTTTTTTTTGCTTTTTTTTATA